GTGAATGATTTTAGGATTTTCCGTCACAAAGGTAAATGCGCCTCCTCCAACATACGCCGCCTTTTCGCTTACATTTTCACCTATTGCAATTTGATGGAGTCAGACTTCCTTCTATGCATATGTAATGCTTAGTTTATGTGACTAACTGGCGTTTGGCAGTCGCTTTGGAAGTTATCTGGTCCTGTACACGTAGGCTGGCCTTCAGACTACGCTCTGACCCATTTTGCCCTGTCGTCTTCGGAGTACATGTATTTAACCCCACTTATGCCTTCTTCCACCAAATGGGATGCCTCTGGACGCCAGTAAAACGGCGGTGTCTGTTGGGCAATAGATATTACCGGACACTATGTCCCATCTAACACTTGACCAACAGAGAATAAGGGGCAGAGAGAGTGTCCACCTTGGCTAAAATCGTTAACTAATGTCAGGTTCGCCTTCCGCTGCCACTAGAATAGCGTCCCGAGACTCCCTAGTCGGAAATAAGAGGTCAGTATATGAAGCTGGATACATGTATTCCAAAGACGACAGGGCATTTAAGCCTGACAAGTCAACTCCTAAAGTGACCGCTAAACGTCAGGTAGTCACATAAAAAAGACATTACAGGAAACAATGATGAAAATCGGCTAAAGGTAAGGAAGGGAATACTATGTTTGTTTGAGTTCCTCTGTGTGAAATAAGGAAGTAAGTGAAGCTGGATCCAAGTATTCAAAAAGAGAACAAAGTAACTAGTTCTGAGCATGGTCCGAAGACCAGCGCGCATATATAAGGGCCTAACACATCTTAAATTGACCGCAAAACGTCAGGTAATGACATAAAGAAAGCATTACAAGCAATCCCTACAATATTTATTCATGTACCGAAAAAAAGTGAATTATGGTTTTGATATAATTGAAAGGACAAACTCGTGGCGCCTTTAGTCTTATTACTTTGGTAATGAAGTCATGGGGCTAAGCGGCTAATGAAATTAAGTCCATGGCTTAGGACATAGTTTGACCCATATGGCAAAAGGAGGATGACTGTATTTGAATGAACGATTTATTACAACATCATTTGATGTTAGAGAAATACCTGTCAAAATGATCGAAGTTTACGCTGTAGTGCTTCGATCCCCTGACGTTTGGCGGTCACATTTCGATTTGTCCGGCCCTTGTATGTGTGGGCTGGTGTTCGGACCATGCTCAGGCCTAGTTACTTTGATCTCTTATGAACACATAGATCCAGTTTCACTTACTTTCCTATTTCACACAGAGACGCTCTTACTACCGACCAGGGAGTCTCGGTACCATTCATAGCTTTATTGAATGCCGACATAGATGCATACCTTCACCCGAATTATACTGCGACCGTACATATTCGCTTGCAAAAACAATTAAAAAAGATTTATTAAAATAACTGCGTTTTTACATTTTTAAAATTTCCTGCGCAAATCGTTTTGGTCTTGTTTCAATAAATCAAGTCCTTAAAATTGCGAAAACAGTTGTGACGCCTTTGACCGGTAAATCTTTCTGGTGTTTCCCGAGGCAGTTGTACGTTTGATGGACACTTTCTGTTTTTTTTTGGTAGTTCCGTAGAATTTGATCCTAACACCCTCTACTTTTCGTATTTTGTTAAATTCGCACAATGCGTAGGGGTGCATAAATTTACACTGGCTTCCACATTCGATTATTATTTTAAGACATGGCTGTTTTTTGTGCAGAATTTGGTGATTGATTGTTACTTTGTGCATGTGTATAGGGTTCGTTCTAATAGACAAAATTTTCTAATTACATGCTTTTATTTATATTAGATTGTTCTCAACAATGACGTTTGTAACTCCTAATTTAGTCATATTTTTGAGTGCAAACCTGGTTGTGCACATTTGTATAAGTTCGGACGTAAAGACCACCCTTGGATCGTTAAGCAGGAGTAATTGTCATTCACGAGGTTGAAAAGCTGATACACTAACCATGATCGCCATAATGCCCCATGCTTCGTTTTCTGCCTCTTATGAAAGTTTAATCCCTGCGGCATGCATTGGGCATATTTCTTTTGTAACCGACGGATCTCTTTGAGTATTATTTTTTTATCACGTATTTCCTTTAAGGTATGGGGACGTTGTGCATATAATATCCACTTGTAGTACATAGGCAGTAAATGATTTTATGTTACATTGCAACTGCGTCGGTCTAATTATGTAGAAACAGTATTTAATGTACACTTTTATAGTACACAATAATGGAAACGTGTGAGAAAGATTTTTGTTCAGCAGCATTCATTAATAGTTCTACTTAGTTGTTTTTACGATTTTGTTTACCGTCTTCGTCCCTAAACGTCCTCCTTTAATCAAACTTGGATGGGATGTTTTCTTAAGTGTTAAAGCTCTTGAGAATAACATACAAACTACCTGACAAAAAAAGATGTAACATTTTACTGCGTGATGCAATTCCGATTATATTCTTGTATGTTTTCCTACCCAGCTTTTGGAATGACTAAGAAAAATCGAACTAACAAAACAGATGATGATCAGAAGAGTACCACTATCCCATCATCGCAACCATCGAATTCGAACGGCTCATCTCCATCAGTAGCAGAAACTCAAAAATCGAATGCTTCATTAGAAGTACAAACAAGTGGTGTACCGGCGGCTGAGCCGATGATTCGTTGTGAGGAGACTGGCGAGACTTCCTTTTGCAATGACCCTATGGGTTCAGGGGATATAAACAATGAGACTGCAAAAGTCTCGGAAAGCTCCACCACTCCCTTCTTCTCTGCTTCTTTATCTCGTCGCGACAAGTCTACGCTTAATGAGACAGGAGAAACTACCTTTTCGGAGGACGATGGTGAGGGGGAAGCAAATCAGCTTGAGACCGATTCTTCAGATGATGAAGATCTTGCCATGCGTTTGCGACGACGGAGTGGTAGCGATTCAGAAGACGAAGATGGATACGAGGATGAAGATGACGATGAAGACGAGGACAGAGCTGAAGCCGATGGCGAAGATGAATGTGAGGGCGAGGAGGAAGATTATTATGCGGATGATGGAGCTTCTCAAACCTCTAACGAAGAAGAAGTGATGGATTCTGCGAAGGAGGTGGACGACGCCGTGGCTATCCCCGAAAAGGAAGCAAGGGACCAGAATAAGAAACCTTCTGGCAGTCCAGTGAATCGGCGAGATCCTACTTACGTTCCGCGCGAAGGAGCCTTTTACCTCCATGATGCTCGGGATGAATCAGGTAATGGCGATGGTGAAGTGGAAGTTGCTCCAGCACCGGGAACGGTCTCAACTCGTCGTTCGGGAATGTTGGGATCGCGTTGGGAGCACGATCTTTACATAGAGCGGGAGCAGCGGCCGCGTACCACTGAGGAGATAGTTCGTCGCTATGGCTATGACATTCGTAAGTACGGCCCGGACCCCACTCAGGAGGTTACATCTGGACGCGTCGTCGGTAGCTCTCGAAAACGGGGTCAGGCACGAAGGAGAGGGGTACGATTCGCCAATTCGCTCAATGATGGCGCAGCCTTTACCTCAAAAGACTTCCCAACAATAGAGGAGGGTCGTGTTCACCAGACCCGTAAGCAAAGTAGTGGTAGTCGTTTTCGGAGCACAAAGTGTGGAGAAACTCTGCATCAAAGCTCTAAGGTAGCGGACCAAGTCGCCACTCCAAATTCAGATGCTGAAAGCCAAGAAGGCGTACGGAAGACGAACCAGCCAATTCTCCGACGGGGTCGCAAGGCTCGTGTTTCCACTCCCCAGGAAGGACATAAAGGAGTAGTGATAGTGGGAAATGTACAAAACCGTCGGGGTAATAGGGGGCGTGGAGTTGGTCGTAGATTTTTTGGCACTGAAGGTGATGGCAGGGGTGGTTTCCACAATTTTAACAGCGCTCGGAATCGAGGTCGGGTACCATCAACGATTATGCCTGTTCCAAAGACACAGCCATCGTCGCAACAACCACAGTTCCAGTTACCTCTGCAGGCACCAAGATCAGGCAAACGATATTCAGTGAATCGGAAGTCTCATCGTCCTGAACTTTCACATGAAGGTCAAGAGGTGGAGACCAGGACGCCAACTTTACCGGACGCAGAGACGCAGAAGTTGTATCGATCTTTCGATCCTTCCATTGTTGCCGCAATGGTACAGCGGCATCAAAAGGAGAATCCTGAGGCTTTCGAGGCAGCTAAAGGTGTGTTATTGCATTGTTTTTGATGCGAAATTGTGATAGGTAGATTTAAGAATATGGGCAGAGGGAGAGAGGATGGTCTGGAAGTGCCTTTGTTTTTTTAGGAGGCGACATTTGCATCAAATCCCATTCACTCACCTCATTTGGAATGCAAGTCTGTACTTTAGTCACCATTTCATGCTAGTTTATTGCTGCCTTGTGTTTGTCTTTTTCCTGTCTGTGTACCTTTTGTAAAAGACTTGCTTTTTTAAAGGCCAACTTTACCATCAACGTTTCGGATATGCTTATCAATGTTTGCCCTCTTTTTGCGTTGCTAAAGTTGGATTCAACTTGCTTTTTATTAAATTATTAATACTTTTAGTTGGCTTCATCGTAAATTCTCTTCACAAAAAAACATCATTATTTAGGCGCAGACGCGTACTTTTGTCTAGACAACAGGATCAACTAGTGTTAGACCGGACAACTTTTAATCACACACGACGGAGGTAGGTGGGCGAAAAGTTTGTACTTTTTTAAGCTACAGCTCTTCTCGGCAAATATCAGTAGAGTAGGAGCGTTTTGGCTTCTACAGCGTCTGGCTGTAGTGTCGGAATTAACAAGTCACTTATTCAAACTGAATTAACTCTCGATAGTCTAACTCAAAATCCCCTTCCACAAGCTGATTGGATGTTGTGGCTGTGAATTGGAAAGCATCGTATCTTAGAGACGCTAAAATCGTTTGAATGCCTTGCTGCTGGGCAGGTGAATGAATACGTCATTGGGTGGCCTATTGTACTTGAAGTCATCCGTGGATGTGGGCTGAGGCTCACATCTTTGATTTGCCGTTGTTCTTCGTTACCCTTTCCATACTGTCACGCGGGCGCACACGTTGGTCTGGCTGTCCGGACTGGACGATTTATGCGCCGACTGATACGAGCGGGGTTGAGTACTCGCACATTTCTCTCTAACGTGCGTATACGATCTCTGAAGTTGGTTGGAAAACAGATGGAGTAGGTGGTTTAAAGGTGTGTCCAAAACTTGGGACCACTTTTTGGGACCTAACCGATAGGGTATTGATAATGTTATCCGCGAATGTCCCTTCATCTACTTTTCAGCTGCGTCTTTATCCATGGTGGAGGAGCGGACGTTGCGAGTCATGAATAGACTCCCCAAACCCCGACCAAAGTGTGAGCCAAATGACCCAGTCGGATCACATGGTGATGCAGCAACTGCGAAAGGAACCTCATAGCTACTCATTCTGCATCCCTCACCAAAAAATTAAGCTTTTCAACGTCTTAACATTGTTTCTTAGCTCCCTCGCCCCTTCTTTATTCAAGACTATCTCTGCGCACCCCTTCACTCCTGTATAATACTTTGCATGACTAAAATAAAAGATAGTTTTGTACAATGATTAACTTCTACCTTCTTGTTGTGTTTAAGCCTGATGGCTATTGGTCGTGATGACATTCCGGTAACCCTTCCGCGCCCATTTGTAGCAGTAGGTGCGAGTTTATGGAGACGTGACACAAGTCATCACTTTCCTCTCACACTCACCACAACAGTCGCTGAGCACATTGTGAATCAAGAGTGCTTGTCCGCTCAAAGTTTCTGTTCTCCTCAAATATGTTGTGAGTTTTGTTTTGTTCGTGATTACCCATATCCATTGTCACACACTAAAAGTATTGGTTAAACGTGATGTGACTTTGGCTTAACCGCTCTACCTATAAAGTTAAACCCAATTCCACAGTTGCAGCGATGCCTCGCCACTGTTATTGTACGCAATTTGGAGAATGTGCACTATGAGGTATGCAGCACGTGGCAGATCAACACATCGCTAATGCCTCGAGGTAAAGAACGGCTGCACTTGGTGTGACGATCAGGAGGAGTCCCTATCCAAGTCTCTGGTACCCATTTACGGATTTTAGGTCATTTGCAGGCACCTACACACAGACCGACAAGCCGAGGAACAAATTGACTGGTAGAAATATATATTGCTTTCATCATTTTATGTTTTAAGGCTCATTAGCCAGCCGAACATCTGATTGGTTATCCGCAGATAGAACTTCTATCGGACCATCCCTTCCCATTTCCCCCCACACCAACATCGACGCGTACTTCCGAGGTATCCCATGCACACGCAGATTCATGCCCTCATGATTGGCCTCTGTGGGTATGCGGTGGCCTGCAGGCGCAACAGATGACGTTGGAGGTTTAAAAAGACTTCCTTTCCCTTCTGCAGATGCAAAGTAGCAGAACTTGTGAATGTGGGCTTTCCATAAAACTGGATGTGTGTGACAACTGCCTCCTTTACCGCTGAAGCGTAAGTTTATCGTTCGGCTGTCGAGGTTTCACTGACATAAGCCTCGAATTTTTCGCGAATTTAAACAGTGACGCACCCTTTGGATGACCCTGAATTTCGCTTCACATGACTTATTGGCTATGGCAGGTCAACTGAAATATTGATTTTTGCATCCGCAAGCAATCAACGGTCAGCGTAACGCAATGCAAGGTCATGACAATAACATCCTACAGGAACCTTTGGATTCCGACTCATCAACAAAACGATTGCAATTTCAAACAACAAAACTGTTAAAACCTACATTATCGCCGAGAGTGACCTATCGGTGTTTGAAAGAACCGTCAGCTTATGAGGAAATTGTAAAACAATTGAGAGAGGCTACCAAGAAGCACCACTCTCGATCCATTCGACACTTGGAAGAGAATTGGCAAGCAGAACGGGAAACGTATGAGCTGTTCTACGAGACTGTAGCAGCTTTGCGTGAAGGCGACTGGAGTGCGAACGCATTTGGTCTTCCGACACATAATGAGGAGGGGAGGAGTAAGCACCACTTGTGTCCCCTTTATTACTGACACTTTTTCGTTTTAGGACGCAGCGTGCATGGTTTTAGACGGCGATCCCTAAAATCTCTTCCCGGACCTAGCATACACCATCGACTAGCTCTCCTCTCGTCTCTTCACGTCTCCATTTGCTGTGATTGGTATGGGAATGAGGGAGTTGGCATTCATCGTTGGTCAGCGAGTGGAAACGAAGTGACACTATCATGGCAACGCTTCTATAGTCAATTTGATGCTACGATCTCAGAGAAGGCCTGTAGTTCTACGATGGAGGAGAATTTGCGTCTCTCCTCGGATTTCTTTTCGATTTCCGGCTCTTCAAATATGTCCTTTACGCTGCCACGGGATTTGGCTATCATTGACGACTTGGAGGCGTATGTGGTAATGCCACGAAAACCTCGTGCCCGTTTCAGTCGTCCAGTCGTTTCGAGGACATCTGGTACAAGGACCCTTCCATTAATCAAATTTAGTTGCTCCGAAACCGGATCGGAGAGCACCCTGCATCACCTTAACGAGTTGAGCGGTGGGAGGGAGTTGAAGAGTGATGATGAAGACGTAGATGACATTGAGTATGTAGGACCCTTGAACTATTCTTCCAGCGAGTTCGACACAGACATCTCAGTTGATGAAGACGGAGATTTCATTGTGAAGACGGAGGCGGAGCGAAAACATGCTCGAGCCAAACGTAAAAGTGGTAACGACGAATGGGGGCAGACGAAGTCGATTTCAATTACAGAGAGTGAAAAGCCGGGAAGTACCGCATCTTCTCTTGAAGTAGGTCAGCTCAACTTTAGCACCGTTCCTATGCCGATTAAAAGGTGAAAACAATTTTATCACTTTCAGACAAATTCCACTTTCCTGCCCATCCCAGCAAAGAGGACAAAGCGTCTGATGCTAAAAAGGTTGGGTGAAATGAGGAAGATATGTGCAGAGGATGAACTTCCCCTGTCTTTAATGAGGGTGCGCAGTACCTATGGCCTTGCATCCTCTACAAACAGCCTTCGGCAGAGAATCTACTCCGAAATTATGGATCAAGAGCATCCAATAGGTGTGGGAACACTTTCGCGTGAGGTAATTAAACGCGTTCCACAGGTCTACTCTTCAGAAGGCGACTCACCTGACATCTCCGTAGGCAGCAATATCGACGAGAGCCTAGTTGAGGCTACCGTGGAAGGTGTTCTCAAAGGCTGTCCAGTTATGGTTAAGACACTCCTTCGAAAGAATAGAACAGTCCTTCCCACTCATCGTGAAATCCTTCCTCTAGTTCAAGACGTGAACCTTCGCAGCGATCAGCCAATCAAGAAGCCCATGAATAACATCTTCACTGAACAATTCGTCTTCGATAGTCGCATTGACGAAAGACCGAAGGGTTCGTATTGCTACTTTTTGGAAACTGTACTCCCTGTTAGTTCAATAAATCCCGACGACTTTGGCACGAATGACGTCATGGAGGAGAAGGGTAGTGCTGAAGGTGGCAAAGTGGGATTTGGAGCCTTGCTACAACACTTGCGCAGCACAACTCCCGACCCATGTCCCTATCAATCCAGTTTGAACAACGTATCAACCAGTGTGATTGCTGAACGCCAAAATCCCTACTTTAGACAGGCCATTCTGCACACTGGCTTGAAGAAACCAACAACAAATTTGGATAATCGAAATTGGATTATGCGACCACCGCGGGGCCTACAGATACAAATGAACAACTACACTTCAAACATATCAATTCCATGTGTTTTGTTGCTTCCACCGAAAAAATTTCATTTCTCTATGCTAACTCATTTGGAGGAGTTGATGGATGGCATCAATCCCCTTCTAATCAGTCTAATGAATCGAATTTGGCGTTCAGCGCGTCCCATAGGTGCTTGGGTTTTGGAGAGGGACAAGAAGACATTGGATTATGCCCTCAACAAGCTCATTCTCGACCTTATTCTCTTTCGTCATGCCACAGGTCATTGTGTTCGTTACAAAGCCCTCTCAGTTATTACTTCGTCTCACCAAAATTCACGTCTACGGGAATTGCTGGTGGAGTCTGCAGCACACCCGGGCAATTGGTTGGACCAAATCCTTCGTTCTGGACTTTCCATCTACTCCTCTTGTCGACTTGAAGCAGCGATATGCCTTCTCGGTCTGGTGACAGATAAGGAATTAATTAGTAGAGTCGGCATGAAGGGTGTTCGCCCAATGATCATCGACATATTCATCTCGCTGTTTCGACTTGCCGACATGTTTGAAGATACCGCACCAGTATTCTTCGTTGTAATGACCTATCTGGTGTGTCATAATGAGGACAGAACCCTCCTTGAGACGATAGTCAAGTATGGTAGCACAGCTAAAACAACCTTTTTGGTGGGACAGTGGCCCTACCTTGTGGCCTTCGCGTACACTTATTGGTCTAGACGGCGGCTGTTGAGCTTCACGCTAAGGGAGAGTCTGTTGGTGAAAGCACTGGACGAGGCCTGGCGCAATCCTGTCTCGCGAAGAGCTGCAAGGGAGGCAATGAAGGCGATTAAAGAATTTGTAGAGGTGGTTTCATCTTTCCACACTCATTGGCCGGTAAGACAGAAACGAACTCCTATGGTGCATGAAAATTGATTACTTTTACAAGTGTTATTCCTATAGCCTTGATTATAATCTTAATCATTGTGAATAATTGTTATTAAAAGGAGTCTCCGTTGGATATGTTAGCTTGTCAAGCGACCCTTTCTTGGCTAAGTGGATGAAAGTGCATTTTAAAGCAAGGAGGGGACTTGGTCGGGGAAGGCATGGGACTTGTTTAAACATGAGGTGTTCGTTTAAATTTTACTTGGAATGCATTTTCGTCTTTATTTTCCCCAGTGGAAGGCAACGTTTTTTAGTTAATCTCCCAACTGTTCCCTCTCCAAGTGATGCTCACCCGTTTTCCTGTTGCACATGTCAAGCAGATATCGAGGATTTGGAGGATAAGTTGAACTTGTTTTATAAAGCAGACGAGCTGACATCCTATCAATCACAATAAACCAACGCGGTGAGAATAACCCTGAATGTCGCGCCGTTAGAGTGACATTCATTTATTCTGCGAGCATGCAAACAATTAAGCTCTCCAAGTCCTTGCAATTTTTTTGCATCAGGCTGCACTGAAGGCCCCGTAGAGTATCTTGATAGCTGCCCTGGTGGATTGACGGTGCAAAGCGGGAGAACCACGACTGGCAGCCACCAAGGAGTCCGCACATTCTGCTGCAAAGATAAACAAACTTTTCAAAGTAAAAGTACAAGTCGGCTAAGAAACATGACATGATGAATGTTGGCTGGTAAATGACTCTGTTGAAAGCTTAAAAATCTACTTAAACTAATAACAAAGTGGTTTCAATTCGCCTACTTGAATTTGTATTTCGCGGTTTAAATTCGCCAATCAGCGTGCTGCTTCCGAATGGATTGAAAACTTGCGGTTCATTGCACCAATCAGAGCGTTGCGCTATACTGTTTGTCGTATCAGTGCTCAGGCGGAAGTGACAATCGCCCTTTTCACTCTTGCACCTGTAACGGATGGGCGTGGACAGGGGCGGTTGCGTAATCACCCTTATCAGTTTTTTTATCGAGAGTTCACATAAAATTTCCCGTTTTGCATTATTTTCGTTGCTTGTATGGCACTTTTGTTCACCTGGTGATTGCACCGTGTTGTAAAATGCGCAAGGCTAGATACACTGTGTTTAGTAGAGGGGAGTTCCAAAAAGTCTGTGCAGTCCACAACCTAATGAGTTGTCTTTTTGTTTTCATGCCTCCTTGGGAAGTGGATATGTAGCACTCTGTTCTCCAGAAAACGATTCCTCCTCTTTTATCCTATATTTTACATTTTTATGGTAAAAAATACAACAATTCAAGCGTCTTTACACTTCCTACGCTTTTAGTACGTTCCAAAAGACTGTTGTCCGGTTGTGTAATGCTTGAGAGTTGCAGGTGCAAATATTCACTTCCCGAGAGTCAAAATGGAGGTGTAGCATAGGACAACCTCTTCACTCCATGCTGGAGGACGTGCAATGACAGGGCTGGCGCAGGGTTGGCGGGTGGTCCAACGTAGTGGTTATGCTACGTCCAAATTGTGACACCCTGAATCCTCTACCACTTGCAAGCCATTGATCCTCCTGTTGTGACGGTGTTGTTGACATGTTGCCACAAACCAGCTGCTATGGCTGTATACAAAGCGGTCTTTGTAACACCCATGAAAAATTGAAATCGGTGTGGTAACAATGGTAAGTGCTTCTACTTTCACCTCTCAAAGTGGAAAGTGTACCACTTTGTCTACGAAAACCTTAATTAGGTTGATAGTGTATTCGTTGTCTGACAGAAAGGTTGTTGTTTGTGGGTAAACGAATTGGGGAAGCAACCTTGAGAGAAGAGGAGACAACATAGGTAAATATCACAAATTTTACAGAAAAAGAGAGAAGGAGAGGGAGAGGACACGAAAATTCAAGGAGCATTGACATTAGGCAATCCATGGGCGAGCTGCGAGTGCACGATGAAGTCGACCATGCGTCACGGTGTTGGCAGGATTAGACGGTGGTAGGTGAAGAGGACCCGAACTGGCACTCCTCTGTCCTCCTCGTCTCCAAGCCTCGTAGTGCCCTTCACCGGTGGTTGTTTTTTGCCGACCAACGGGAAGGTGGGCATTGCGTGTGAGGTTCTGGGAGATAAGAGTAAGGAGGTTCTTTTTTTCGCAGAACGTTTAACATCAAACACTCCTGTCTAAGTCCTCTGTTTACTTGAAATGTGTCAGAATTAATGCATGACAAATAGGCATCCCCATTGAGGCGTCTTCTTTTCCTCTTTTCAGTGGTTTTATTAATTGTTCTTACAATTTGAGCAATTTCTTTCGGGACAAGCACGTTACACAAGTATGACTCAAAATAGCAACTTACGCCATCACTGCCCACACGATTTTCGTTGCCACGAAGAATCATAGGAATGTCATAGGATTTGGTGAAAGAGGTTGACATTGTCGTTGTCGTCGTTGTTGTGGTTTTAGTGGTTGCAGTTGTTGTCGTGGGAAAGGAGGACTGTGAACATCTTACTCCAGCATCTCCACGTCCCACAGGTCGTCTGGATGGTCTCATCTGATGGCTTTGATGCGAATTTTTCACCAAGGTGTCTGGATAAACTTGACGTTTTCGAGTCTTAAGGGAAAAATAGCATTAACGTCAGAGCAGGAACTTTTCACAGCCTCCAAAAGGTCAAATCAACTAGCCGCAGCAATATTGTTGCACGTCTTGAAACCCTTGCAGAGGGACAGAGACATTAAAGAACACGATTAATCCACTCAACCGTTTTCCTGTTCTCCTGATTGGGCATCCATGTCATTGTTATTGGTTTGAGTGGAACCTTGTCCGCATTCTCGTAGGAAGACCGTTGTTGAAACTTGGCATTGGATGGTTTGGAATTTTCAGAGCGTTGTTTAGCAGGAGGCAAATGGATGGGATGGTGTGGAGAAGGCGGAGCAACAATTCGAGATCTAGACACTGTCGATGGGGATGTTGCTGATGTCTCAGTGGAGGTGGTAGTGTTCGCGGTGGTAGTAGTGATAGCTGAATGGAGATAGGTGAAGAGCCTTTCAGCCTCTCATGTCGATGCCATTGGCGATCGTGATGTGGAGAAGCCTCCACCGAAAAACTCCTTTCCTAAATAACACCCTAGGATCTATGCTAACTTATAATGACAACTGTTTGCATTGTGATGGTGTGAAGGCCACAATTAACCCTTTTACTGTGCTATCTACCTTAAAGCACCCCGAAACGTCTTCAAGAGGAACCTCCAATGCTGATTGCATGAGTAGTATTTAGTAAAAGAGTTGATATATGAAGTAAATCCGAGTTACTCACAGCTACCATCTTCTAGAGAAATAGTACTTGAGCCTGTGGATTGCGAAGGGGACATAGTAGAGTCGTTCTAAAGAAAAGGCAATAGAAAAGGTATTGTCTTACGCTTTGGCATGAGAGGAAAGGAGCGATGGAAGGGAATCATTTGTACCTTGAAAAGGAGCGCCTTAGAGAGGTGTCACGTTAAAGAGGTATTGTAGTCCACATAGGCAGAATTTTATTTGCAAAGTAATTTTAGGAGCTTTTTGGATTCACTTTACTAAATCCACTGACTAGTGCTACTTAAATGGTCATAAGTAGTCTATCGCCTTAATTTCACTTGAGAAAAAAAATTATTTGTTGGATTTTTTAACCAAGTAAAACTCACTTCAGTATTATCTCTGAATGCGCTTCCACTGTCGGATGAGTCCTGCTTTGTCATTCGTTGTCTGTTAGATTTTGTTTCATGGATCATCTAAAGGCATCAGTAAGGTAAGAACATGGGGCCAAGAAGCAATTAATTTGAGACGGGATAAAAATGCCTTTTTATGCTTTGTTTTGGGGGAGAGAATGAATCGCCTTTCTCGCAAAAACTATATTCGTACTAGTACGTAGGATGGTGATTTGGAGGAGACTGAGCATAAACCCGTCTCAAGTGGAGCAATTTAAACACTAACTACTGCGCAAATAAAGCAGTTTAGTAAAATGAAAATAACCCTACTTGATAAGTGTTTTGGCTTAGCCGTAGGTCGTTTCATTTTTTCCCACAAAGATTGTTATGGTATCGAGGAGAGTAGAAAGAGGGATCGTATGAAGGAAGGCAAAAGTTTTGCTTACATTGTAAAGACGAGAGCGGTATTCTGAGATGCCAAGTTTTTTGCTGTCACTTAGAGGCGGTACAACAACGTGGTCCATCACAATTTCACTTTCAGGATCTCGAAATCTAATTGCATAGGGGAAAGAGGAGAGAAGTAGAGGAAAAGTGTATCTTTTGATTGGATTTCAACAAAATTAAGCAAGGTGATTAGGTCCTCCTGCCTCTCAAGATTCAATGAGTTCTGCCATTGCCGGCATCTGTACCCCTTTCCCAACTTAGACAACGCAGCAACTTCTACTGAAGCTTTTCAAGCAACTCGTAGGTTAGACGGGTACTCATAATTGTCAGTCTACCCATAGTGGGCTTAACAGTAACGGATTTTGTCGCCTTTTTTTCTGTAACAAAACGTTAGGGGATGAGGTAGGACCTGAAGTCCTGCCATCTTTGAGGAATGCTCTCTAGAACGAGACTAAAAAAGTAATGTAGTAACACAAAAGCCAAATTCGTCTCCGTTTTTAAAACCTTTGTACGCATGACAGGAGGCAGGAGAACAGCTTGGCATACAAAAATGAGACATTTCAGTAGTGCTGCCAACTGCTCAAAGCTGATTCATCGAGGGCAGAATAACCCTAACTACTGGTTGGATGTTTCTTTGAGATAACAGTAATTGGCATGGGTGTGGCCAGTTGCCACGGCCAACGAATTATTAGAAAACAAAGATCCTCCTTTAAAGGAGAGTCTGTGAGTGAATGCACTCCAGTCCAAGGCAATGAATCATATGCCTCAAGGTGTATGGGACAATTAAGGCGTTCCTTAAGCGACATATTGCTAAATGCAGAAGATTTGAGAAGGCAACAAAAGCATCATCCCCCCGACTTGCATCGATTCTCCACACACTTTCAACGATTGAGCTAAGTTAAGGACACCAAGAAGGGACACGACTGCAACGATGTAATGAAAACAATGGATTACTGAATAAGGAAAACGGCAAAAATGATTTATGAAAGCGACGAACTGGGAGACGTAGGGATGTTCGAGAGCTTGAGACGCCGTAAGGCGTTTGTTAGGATTGAGTTGAAGGAGTCCGCGAACCATGTCGAGCGCATTTGGTTCGGGAACAGGAGTGACTACATCTTCCAGCCGCCGTCTACTCCTTAAAAAATCCGAATATAAAAATGAACTTTAAGTTGTTGGCTGGGCAAAGACAAGGATTAACAACTTCTGGACAAGTAAGTGAAACAAAAATGAGAGCCACTTGCACTACAGAAGGCTGATCCAGTAACGAAGTGCCGTAGTCAGAGCGAAGGCAAAGGATGTCTGGAGGTATATTTAAATGAACATAGCAAAATGTTAAAGGTTCTAATTCTTCCTTCACAACTCTTCATCAACGCATCACCAAAAACTCACTAACTGAGTGTTTGAAATGGATACGAAATGAAAGTGATAGTAAAAAAGTACCTTCACGGCTCGGCTTTGGACCAATGGACATGATCTTTTCCAACTGGTTTAATGTAGATGTCCCAGGAAAGAGGGCTTTACCAATAAAAATTTCTGCCAAAATGCAACCAATCGACCACATATCAACACCTTTGGTATAGTGAGTAGAGGAAAGCAAAATCTCGGGTGCTCGATACCATCGAGTAGCCACGTACTCGGTCAGTTCCGGATTGTCCAGATCGGGAGCATTATTTTTACCATTTGGTGCATTATTTCGCGACAAAGAACGGGTGAGACCAAAATCACACACCTTCGCATTACAATCAGAGTCAAGCAGAATGTTTGACGGCTAGCAACATGAGCAACAAGAAAACAAAGCTACTTTAAGATCACGATGTATAACATCGGCAGAATGTATGTATTTAATAGCCTTTAAAATTTGGTAGGTTATATACTTCATATGAACACTCCGCAAAATATTGCCCCTTTTTATTAACTTGTGCAGATCAGTTTCTAAAAAACACCGTTTATTATAAAGTCTTCTCACCCATGTACTCAAAAACGAGGTACATATCTTTATCATTTTGAGCTCTAATAACGCCCAAGAGTTTAATTATGTTTGGATGCCCAGAAAACTCCTGTAAAAATATAATTTCTCGAAATGTTCGCTAAACCATCACGATATTCAAAATACATACCTGTGCATCAGTTTTATTTCGAAACGCATCAAAAATCTTTTTAAGGGCCACATACGTATTTGACTTTTTGTGCCTCGCTTTCCAAACTATTCCATAAGCCTGAACAAAGATTAATTAGGTAGGGTACATACCCCTTTTCCTATCCGTTTCAGAATCTCGAAATTCCGGCACACATGCTTTTCAACCTCATGATCCATTTAATTTACAAATCCGCGTACGCTCTTGGGGTCATAGAAACAAACTAAAACAATCGAGTACCTCTGGTTAACGATGCAAACATTATGAGTACTTTAAATAGGTCTTTAAAAATCTAGCAAAGATTTAAGATGTATTGCTTAAATCTAAGTGAATTATGGTTGATCTAGGGCACAAGTGTGCTAGCTACTGTACATTAGCCATAAAGTGTATAACATACAGCAGCACGACTGTAAAGTAGCATAAAGAGGAATATTCATTAACTTTTATCAATGTAATGCTTTGTTTAAGTGACTACCAACTTTTGTTGTCACTTTAGGATGTGCCTGGCCCCTGTACACGTGAGCTGTCCCTCGGCCACACTTATGCCCTCTACTACACTATGGGAAGCCTCGAGACGCAATAATCAATGCAGTGCTCACTTTCAAAACTGCCACGGACTATCTAAGACGTTGCGCTTTCCCATTTAAGCGCTCGAGTAGCCACTTAGATGGCGAAGCCACCGAAATGCATTTTTTGTCACCTAGATTTGGTTGTTAACATTTCGGCTGTTTACCTCTTAAAGCTTTGTTTATGTGACCACCTGAAACTCGGCGGTAGCTTTAAAATTTGTCTGGGCCCTGTGCTCATAGACTGGCCTTTGGCCAAGCTCAGTTCCAGCTTTTTTGTCCTCGTTGGAATACATATATCCAACTTCAATTACTGCCTTCAACCACACTGTAAGAAGTTTTGTGCCGCTGCACTGGTGGCAGCGAAAAGCGAGCCCGACATTTTTCTAATGATATCTACATTAGTATGTACTTACGGTGTGGGGGAGGCGCAACGAAAGTTTTGAGACTGACGTCTGCATTTGGCTTCAAGCATTTGGCCGTGAATAATCTGGAAAAGTTATGTGTCTGAACTTCCATACAAAATCCGTGTTTAGGTATCGGAAATGGCACAACGGTTCTCCTCACATACGGGACAGTGCCTCACCTCATTTTCCCTGTAAAGAATCTGTTTTAGACCAGATTTTTCCGTCTATTCCTGGAAGCAATCAATGGTCAAAATTGTCATGAGTTATTTGTGTAAATATCTAATGTTTAGCGGTCAATTTAGGATTTGCCTGGCCCTTGAACGTGTGGCTTGGCCTTCGAGCAATGCCCAAGTCAATTTGTCCTGACGTCCTCAGAATACATGTATCTAGCTGCATTTACTGACTTCATATATCAGCCAGAATGTCTCAAGACACTAAACTCGACATATCTTAACAAATTTTAGCTGAGGTGGGCATTTTCTCTGTCCCTTGTTCTCCATTGGTCACTTGTTAAATGCAACATAGTGTCCGGAAATATCCATTGTCAACATACACCGCCGTCCTACTGGCATGCTACGTTTGTGTTGATAAACTTTGTTAATTAATCGACTGATTCCTGGAAAAGGATGGCACGAACAATCCGACAAGCAAGGCTTCCATTGGATGATGCTATGCTTCAGTACCTACAAATCGCACAGGATCTGGATGTGTATGTCGCCTGTTTTGGTGTTGATGCTCTGGTTTTGAGTATGCATGAGACTGGTAATCTGTTGGATCCCAAAATCGATTTCATTTGACCGGTTATAACCAGCCAGAAGACAACACTGCAAAGAATTCTACTTTTTGGTGGAGAAACCCAAGAATAATAGGCGATTTTGGCGTTGTGCACCGGCAATCATGAGCTAAACTTTAGCGTCCAGAGGCATCCCATTTGGTGGAAGAAGGCATAAGTGGGGTTAAATACATGTACTCCGAAGACGACAGGGCAAAATGGGTCAGAGCGTAGTCTGAAGGCCAGCCTACGTGTACAGGACCAGATAACTTCCAAAGCGACTGCCAAACGCCAGTTAGTCACATAAACTAAGCATTACATATGCATAGAAGGAAGTCTGACTCCATCAAATTGCAATAGATGAAGATACAAGCGAAAAGGCGACGTAAGTTGAAGGAGCCGCATTTACCTTTGTGACGGAGAATCCTAAAATCATTCAAAACGTAAGGCTTTAGACTGATGTCTGCATTTGGTTTCACCTTATTCTCGTGTTCCACAGACA